AACCCATATATATATATATATATATATATATATATATATACTCTTCACGTCATTTATCATGTTTATAAAATAAAACGAAGAAATTATCACCTTATTCTTTCTAAAGTTTAGAAATTTCCATATATAAATGGAAGGTAGTGCTTTTGTTTTCACAACATGTCAAAAGAAAAGTAGGCTGTGGAAGTGTGAAGCGACCAAAAAAGTTGCTTTTTGTGGCTTGTGTGTTTTCTTCTCCCTTCACTTTCTAAATTCAACGATAAAGGTAAAGATAAGAGGAAGGAATACTCAATTCACTAATTGTTCCAAATTCTGATTTGATTCTTGGTGGTGATGAGTGATGCAACAGAATTTGGAGATCAAAGGGATTGAGACGTTGCTCGAATCAGTAAGAGAGTCAGAGTAAATGAATACCTACTATATATATATATATATATTGGAGTGGATAGGCCAGGGAAGAGGTAAAAAGAAAAAAATGATGTAATAAGAAAAAAAATTCATAATTACCCTATTTTTATAGGTATGTCTCCAAAAACAGCTTCAATAATAAATATGAAAAGTTAAGAAAAAATGCTTACAATGCCCTCATTGAATTTTTTCCCCAAAAGATAATATTATTGACGAATATTTCATAAAAATACTTTCAAAAAAACAATTATTTTAATATATATATATATATATATAAATTAATCTTTGCAATGTATATATAATAAATTATTTTAAATATATAAATTGTATTATAATTAAAATTGTAATAAACAAATATTTTGATTAAATACATTTTTTTTTGGCAAAAGTGAATAAATACATTATATTTAAGATTTATTGATAATTAAATTATATTGTGATATAATGCTATTTTTAAAAATAATATTGAAATTTAATTTGAAAAAAAGATTAAAATAATAGATTAATATTTTTTTTAAAAAAATACCATTGTTTTTAATTTATTTTTATTAAAGTACTCTTATTAAGTACTACCTCTTACAATTAATAATGATTGATAAATAACTTTATTCTTAAGCATGTGATTAAGAGTTCAATTTTGGTTAATGTGTATGGAAAAATATTTATTAGGAGTGATTAACTCTTTAAATAGATCTCAAAATTTCAGAAATATATATTTGTTAAGATAGGGCAACCTTTTAATTAATGGAACTCAATTTTTCTAAAAGATTAATCATTAACTTTCGACTAAAGAATACTTTGATTTAATAAAAAATAGCTCTTTTAATATTTACTTTTTATTAAATTATTTTATCTTTTAATTACTTTTTAAATTTTGTACACAATAAATAGATATCCTCTTTTAATCTTCATTTTTACTAACTAGGTTCTCTCAATTTCAATTTTTATTTTTATTAAAATAATATTTAGCCAGCAAAATTTATATCTATAAATATAAATTAGTATTTGATTATTAATTTTGAGACACTATATTAATTATATACATTAAAAAGAAGCTATTATATCATTTAGTCACTCTAAATTTTTCACGGTTTCCTTAACTAACTAATTTTTAAAGTATTACTGCACTATCTCTTATTTTATTTTATTTGAAATTATAGAGAGAGAGATTCAGATGGTCTCTATATCTCTTTTTCCCCCAAAATTTTATTTACAAATAATAGAAAATTTATATAGGTAAACGTATTTTTTTTTAACTTATTTTATATTTTTATTTATTTTTTTATCACCACTCATAAATCTTTTACCATTTTTTTCTTCTTAATTTTCCCCATCTTTTCTCTATTTTCTTATCATTTAAATCCATCCTGGGATCGTCGTCGACGATGATAATTGTTGCTTAGTTGTCCGTCTGCAACTATGCTGAGATCCAAATCTGAATCAATAATTTCATCGTTTCAAGAATTGGAAATACCAAATAATTATTTTCTTTTATATATATCTGAAAGGAAATTTCTGAAAGATCCCGTAAATTATTTCCCAATATTTAATTTTTCTAAATCACATATTAACGTATAGACAAGTATGAACTGGCCATTAATCATCAACTTCCCTTTGTTCCCTAATCGGTTGCAAGACAGTGACTCCATTGTCCGGGCTTCGATCTTCGAAAACAATTCATGAGCCATAATTCATCAGTGAATGGGATCACGCTCGTAGTCACTTGGTGTTCGCAACAGATATGGATCAAGTGCAGGTAGTATACGTGTGTCAATTAAATTTGTATCTATCTATTCTCACTATAAGAAATTAACGGTAAACAATCAAATTAACCTATCGGAATAATTTGATTGATTCTGAGAGATGAAAAATAAAAGTTGCTCATGAAAGTTTATTCCATTCATTGAGTTAGTTCTTAGTGAATGAAAGTTTAATAAAGACTTTGTTAATTTTGACTCAATCTTTTGTATCATCTATATATTTTGTAGAGTCTTTTATTTATATAGTTTTAGAGGTTTAGTTTGATTTCTTTCATCTGAATGGTCAAATTATACATACAGTATGTCTCTATAATTTGATGGGTTTAGTCTATCTCGATTAGTCTAATGAGTTTAATTTGTCTTCATTAATCTAATGAGTTCTATTTGTCCTATTTTATAATACCTAGTCTCACTGTTTTGAATTCCTATATATATATATATATATAATTGTTTTGGGAATCCTTTCTAAAAAAATAAGGACAACATAGCGCAACACATAGAGAGCAAATGTGAATAGCAAAGTGTTAAATATGAGCATAGAGAATTGAGACAAAGATAAATAGAGAGAAATGAAGAATTAGTTAGATAGATCAAGGAGTTTCTAAGAAGGGAAAGTGCTATAAAGACTTGATATTATTGTTTTCAGATAGTGAAATTATGTAGGCCAAATTGGTTGAACTGTAAACTATTGTGTTTTCATTTGTCAATCTTTTTCTTCTGCTATTGCATTTTTCTTACACTTATGTTTTGCATTCTTGTTGGGATTTGCATGTATGGAAGTGAAAAATTTAGGATTTCCTTGTTAATTAGATTTTATTAAATTGTAGTCTTGGTCCTATTATCTTGTTAGGGTTATTTTGAAATTAATATTTCTAAACAATCTTGTTTTAATAATTTATTTATTATATTACAACAATGTTTTTAGTTAGGCAAGATTGATTGTTGTTATTGGATGTTATTATTGGCTAAATCTAAGCACAATTATTAATTGAATTTGAGTAGTTATTGGTTGTTCTGAGTATAATTATTGTTTGTTGTGAGAAGAATAATTGGCTATTTTAAATGTTCAAATTTTATGCAAGAGAAAATTGATAAACTTTTGTTGTGAAATCTAGAAATTACATCTGACATTTCTCTAAATGATCCAATTAGTGTCATATTTGGTAAAGAACATCCAGGTCATGTTGGAGGATTATCATTAAGAGCTTGTCCTACCCTTATTTTTAAGCATACTACCATGAGGCTAAATAGTGTCAACTTTAGTTCAACTAGTGCAAGTACACAAAATATGGAAGAAAAGTTTGCATATATGAGAAATGAACTTGCAATTGTTAGATCTCATATGCAAACACTTCTTTCTTATATTACTAGAAGACGTACCATACCTGAAGATTTGGCTGCTATGGCTACTAGCTTAGTTCATACTTTTGTTAATCAGGTAAATAGTTAAATGATTGAAAATAATGATTCATGAGTTAAGAAATTTACATACGTTGTCTTAGGTGATTGAAATTGATTAATGTAAAAATTATTATTTTTATTTATTTCAGGCATCAAATGTTGGAAGTGGTGCTCCATCCCTAGTTAACATTAGAGGATCATTATATGTAATTAATCTAAAGCTTTTGAAGTACTTTGGTTCTCTTTGATAGAACTATTTATGTTTACCCTTTGAAAGTATTACTTTATATTTTCCCTAGTGCAAGTATCGAATGAATTAGGTTTATGTTTTCTGTTTTCTTGTTAGAAGTTGAAGAATATTGAATGAATTTGGTTAGTTAAATATTTTAAAACAATTGTGGATTGCTTCTATTTCACACAATTGTGACACTTTCAATATACAAGTGTTTTTAATATTCTACATAGTTAATTGAAGAATTTATTTTTTATAAATAATTATGATAAATATAAAAAAAATCTTTATTTAAAAATTACAACATTTAAAATTGCCATTCTTTATATACAATTTGTTCTTACCAGAATTTGGTCGTAGGGACGGTCCTTCCAGTAAGATCGGTGTTTGGTCGTAGGGATGGTCCTTCCAGTAAGATCGGTGAGCCTCCTTTGCTAGTACACTAGGTGCTCCGAGATGGGGTTGGTACATGCAAAAGAGACTCCGATGCTAAAGTTAGGGTTTGTATGAGTATTAGTCTCGTATAAGTAATGCACGTACCTTGGTGTGAATTAGGGTTGTTTTGGGCCTGAGATTAGGTAGGATATGATCAGATAATATATCTTATCTGGGGTAAGATTCTCCGGGATCAGTTACGATCTACTCTAATGTCGAGCTGACGTCACATAGCACTGGCCCGAGGTCGTCTCGTGCTTTGATATCGAGCTCGGAGCTCGATTTCACAGATCGGGTAGTACATTAGCCCCCCGAGCTCCGAAGACCGTGGGTCGAGGAGTTGAGATCGGGCTCACTGGAGGGAAGTGACATCTCGTGCGCATCTGTCCGTTGAGACGTCACGCGCCGTCGTTGTTGTCGGAGATGTGCAGGTGACGTAGTGTTCCAATCTCTATGCTCCATGGTCAACCTGCAGGGCTTGGTAATGCCCAGGTTATTGCCAGATCAGACTAGTAGACCTTTGATTGGATCAATAGATTGGTGAGGGACAAGTTGGTGACTCAATTGGTCGGGACACTTGTCCCCTGAGCATCGAGTGGTGCAAGCGGGAATGGGCTTTTGAGATGCTTCCAAATTTGTTGCTTGAAGGTTCAGACTTGACCTTGTTAAGTAGATGCGGTCTTCAAGGTTCATACTCGACCTTGGATTAATATGGTAAGGTTTCGACCTCGGATGGTAGCCTTGAGGTTAGGGGGGCGTAACCTCGAGGTTCGGACTCGACCCAGGCATGACAAGGTTCGGACTCGACCTTGGTTGAGAAGATGTAATCTGGAGGTTAGGTAATAGGTTTCGTCTGGAGCGAGGATCCCTGACCGGTTGTGGTTTGCTTAGATCTCGGGCCAACGTCGCGTAGCGCGTACCCGAGGTCATCTTGCGTTGTAGTTCCGAGTTCCGAGCTCGGCTTCGCGGATCGGACGGGACTTAGACCGCAGGTCGTGGAGTTGGGTTCGGGCTTGTTGTGCGAAATGACCTTTCGCGTAAGCTGGTCTGTTTAGAACGCCGTGTGTCATAACTGTCGTTTCTTATTTCAGTAATCGAGGTTGGCGCGTTGATGGGTGTGACGGTTACGCAATTATGGCTCCTTTTGTCATGATGGGTCTCATTTATTGCGTGTTCAGGTGCGTCCCTTGGTTGACATGTGTCGTGACTATTTGAATTTTGAGAGACCTTTTGTTCACTTTCTCGCGCTTCCTTCCTTTTTACTCTGCTCACTTGTGTTTTTTCTTCTTCTCGCGTATACCGCTCCTCTCGTTTCTGCTACTTCGTCGTCTCTGCTCCTTTCATTTCTGGTAACTTATTTGTTGTTAGGGCTTTTCTCTGAGGAGGAGTATCAGGCACTTCCTTTCTGCCGTTTTCTCCTCTCTCTTTGTTTTTTAGGTCCTTTTCGAGTCTTTTCTTTTTTCTTCCCTTCTATGGCTGGGGAGAGTGGTGCTGGTTCCTCCGCGCCTGCCAAGGGTAAAGGCAAGGCGCAGGGTAAGGCAGCGGCTACCAGGGGGGCTGCCGTTGAGAAAAAGAAAGAGGTGG